GAGAGAGAGAGAGAGAGAATCCTAAGTGTCCAAGAAACTATACCTCCACTGCCTCCTCCCCCACTAGAGCGACCCAAGGCAGCCAATTGTGGACTCACAGCCTGTCCTGCTTCTTGGAGAATCTTAATGAGCTCCCTCGCAAACCTCGCATTTGCATTAGTGAAGAATGAATAAGCAGTTCCCTTGGCCCCAGCACGTCCTGTTCGGCCAATCCGATGAACATAGTCCTCAAGGGATCCAGGAAAATCATAGTTTATGACACATTTTATGTCCTTCACGTCTGCAACGCATCCAAATTAGCACCAAAATACTTACATAAAATGTTAAAGAAACCTAATTTGTGGTTGGAGTATGGTGCAGAACTAGAGCGGAAAATAGAAATTTTGGATAGAATGTTATCCCATGTTATTGATGTTCCACTCCCTGATGGTGAATCTAGCTTTTAGCCTAAGAAAATGCCTAAAATGAAAGAAGTTGAGAAAGGACACAAAGGCCTAGAGAATTCTTCAAGGTGAAGAGAACCTAGTGAAACTAGGCCTGTCATCCAATGGACTATAAAAATAGTATAGACAACTCAGTCATTGCCATCCACAAAAATCATGAATGGTGATCAAGAGATAGAGATGTCCACCATTGGAGTCGTGTCCCATTCAGTGGATGCAACTCCCTCTCCATAGCTGCCCATGATTTCAATGGATAGCAATGACCCAATTGTCAGTGGTTTTCCCAAAGTCCCTAGGATTATAGTCAACTTTGCAGAAAAGAAATCCCCAGATGCCCTTATCCCTGATTGTTATTTCTGGATCACCAAATATAACACACATGCAGCAAATGATGCCCACCTTGCAGGGATAAGGGCCACCACGTTTTTTGTGCACTGAGTCGATCGGGCTGCCACATGAAACCAGCTCCATAAACTGTGGATGGCGGCGAACACAAAACAACCCGAGCAGAGAATTTTCTATGGGAACCAACCTGTGAAGGGACCGAAGGATAAATTCACAAGAGACCATTTAACAAGGTCAGAAAAATAATAGATCTCCAACGACTAGAGAACACTCATGCTCGGGATGAAACATCTAAAGTTTCAGTTTTTTTTTATTTCCCAACACTTTTCCAGGCCTTTAGAATGAGGGTACAATCACACGCCGCCACCCACCGAACTCCATTCTCCTTTAAACACTGGCAAGCAGCCCGCTGACTCCTCCAACCACCAGCAATTCGACTAAATGAGATATAAGACTTCAAGCATAAATGGGCTATACCAAGACCACGAGCAGCTACATCAGTGGCCGTCATAATAGGACTTCTTCCATTCTTAAACTCAGCCAGAACCCAGTCCCTCTCAGCTTGGCTTTTATCGCCATGAATGGACAAGGCTGGCCATCCATCCATTCTCAGTTGCCTGGTGACCTGATCACAACCCTTTTTCGTCTCCATAAAAATGAGGATCCGGCTTCCATCCATGATTTGCTGCAAAAGCTTGATCAGCCTGCAAAATTGGGGCAAAAACAAAACAGTAGAAACCCAATTATCAGAAAAGAAAAAAGAAGAAAACATAAAGGAAATCACTTATAAGGGCAGACATGACATTTGCCAGTACGGAATTGGACATATGATTGACTCACCTAGGGTACTTTTCAGTCTCCCCCACAACTTCAACAATTTGGTTGATAGATTGATTAGCTTTCAGATCTGCTGATCCAATGATGACCTACAATTGCTCAACAACATCAATGCATGCTTTGAAGGTATGAACACATCGGGGGAGCACATTCTTAACTCACTCCACACTTTGATATCCACTTTGCTTACTAGAATAATAATACTATATACCTTGTATGGATTACGTAAGAACTGCCTGGCCAAAGCCTCCACCTCTCTTGGCCAAGTGGCACTCCAATACAATGTCTGCCTATCGGGTCGAATCTGCAAACATGAACTCATCCTTCAGAGATAGGAGCTTCATTTTAGTTTCAAGAAGTAGTGCGAAGGAAACTGGCCTACATAATCTATCCAAATTATAAGTTAAAGGCCCATCAAATGATAGAATAGATTTTTACAACTTGGGACAACACCCAAAACAGCACGCAAAGATGTACTTTCTTTCTTGTAAAAAGACAGCATCACAACTGATGATTTTTATTAGTATACAAAATTATACGAAGTTAAGTATGGTGATTCTAAATACAGTCAGGAACATGTAAATAATTGAAACCGGAAAAAGAGATGCACGTCTTCCAAATAATTTCATCAGATGGCATGTTGATAATCAAAAAAGGTTTTGAAACAACAGTCCACTCCATCCTGAGGCATGGTAAACCAATACATACCAAACAATGTATTTCAAACACAAAAGATGGGAAACCAGAGAACAGCAAACTCCAACAAGAGGATAAGAGATGATGGAAACACAAGGGACATCTCGCTTTCTATCTTAAAATGAGCAAATAGACAACCCATGGACCCAATGCCTTCAATTATGGACAGTGTGTGGTGTAGAATAATGGTAGAATAGTACACAATCAGCACAGAGGAAGAACCACCATAAACATAATGACAAATGGCTTAAAGACAAACAACAGTAAAACCATTATAAGATGCTGTAATACAATTTTTTTTTTTATTCAACAAAATCCAAAGCCTGTTATGCTCAGCAAAAAGCCTTAGTAAACCATCGCAGAACAGACCTGTCAAAAAAGGTACCATCAAATCTGATATAAAAGCTCTCAATTTTTGAAGTTTCAATGTCGTCGAGTACAAAATCAATTTTATGAGGGGAAACTCTGGTAGATAAAGAAAATCAGAAATATACATCCAAAAATTAAACAATGTCAAAATAGTCAAGGATTTGTTTTGCAATGCTTTCTCAGCCTCTTCTATCACATCACATCTTAGACTGGGCCTTTTGGAGGGACTCATTAGGCTATGGTGTCATCCATGAGTCTTCCACAATCTTCAAGAGGAGAATGGATGCCCTTTCCTTGGAGAAATATGTAAATATAATATGGGCAAAGTCCTGCTGTTTTCATCCTTTTCATTTCATATCATGTTTCTATATGCATAGGTATCACGGATTCTACACAGCATGATAAATATTGAGCTCTCGAAATCAATTGCAAATAGTCCCCATCAATGGTATAAATTTTGTAAGGTTTTACGAAAACTACTCAAAGTGGAACACAATTCAAAATTAAATGATCATTTAAACCTACTGAAACCAAGAAAATCTTCAAACTACAAAGACTATCTCAGAGATTATGGACTCTCATATGTTATATCGACAATCCAAAGGATGACAGATTTAAAAGGATGAGCCATACAAATTTTATCAACCATTGATTATCCATTGCTCATGTGATATAATACAGGACATGAATAGTTACAATTACATTGAGTTGTCAATTCTAAAGACATCTTTTTTGAAAATTTGGCTCTAACCACTCTGTGGTACAGTTTTAAGAAGGTATCAAATCAAAAGAGGATTCCATTGGTAAGTTTAGCAAAAATGGCTATTCTGTATTCATGCTTGAGGTCTAAATCCATGTATGAGAAAAACAAAAGTGGCCATAACCCTCCAGCCCACCACTATTAAGTTTAAAACAAACACAAAGCATTCTAGAACTACTGGAAATTATATATAACATTAAGGTCCAGTATGGTGACAAGAAGTGACATTATACTAGAGCCCGATCATAACATGCAAAGCATGGAGTATAATAGAGAAATATTTTGTGGTATTACTTTGCATGAAATGACAAAATTTAGCGGGCCTTAGAAACCCATTGCAAATGTTGTCGAATGGACAGTGAGAACAAGCTAGCGATACAACATACAGCCCAAAGCTGTAAGCCCTCAAAAAGGTTTTCTGAATATTGCAGATTACCTGCAAGTGCAATGCCAACAAACAACCCCAAGTTGCAAACCAATAACTCTTTCTAGACAACATAAATGATTTGAAACAGCTTTCATTTGAGACAATTAAAAAAGTTAATAACATCACTCCCACAAGCCCATACTGGATAAATTTTTTTAAAAGAGAACTATAGTTCGTCACAAAGACATCATCTCTCAACAAGATGAAGGGAGAAATCAATTTGGCACATAAGATCATCCCACTTTATGGCATTTTCATTATATTTACAAGTTCCAATTGTAATGAAGTTATATTACTTTTGCACGCTTGTGAAATAAAGAAAAAGCACAAGGATAACAATTTGTCCCGATAAGTGGACGGAAAAAGAAACAAAATCAAGAAATAAATGCCTATTGAACTTAGACTAGCCAAAAGAAGATGTCATGAACCAAGCTAATTTTTGTTTTGATCACAACAAACAGACCCCATTTTTGCACTTTAAAGCAGTAATTTGTATACTTAGACAAATTTGAGCACAATAGAGTATCTATCAACAGCCCAGCATGGTAAGTTCCTCAACCTGCACCATTTGCCTGGAGATTGCAACAGAGCCACACTTGCAGCTTCTAAGGTTGAATGTACTAGCCTGAGTTTGGACGGACCGCTTATTTTGTAACAGACTGTTTCACTCAGCTGCCTGCTATTGATGAGTAAGGCCCATTTTCCCCCTACCCTGCTTACCAAAAACTGCTGAAAATGCTCCCCATCTATGTGTGGTTGTGATTTTTCTTTTCTTTTTTTTTTTTCTTTTTTGTTTAGGGTCATGTTTGGGGTGGGTTGTTAGTTTTAGGGGGATGGTGGGTTTGGAGGAGGTGGGATTAGTTTTAGGGGATGAAAGGTTGTTATTCCCGACCTTTTTTCATTTCATTGTGCTCATTAACAGCACCCCTAAGGGTTTCTTCCCATCATCTAGGGGACTTTGTGAAGGAGACCCACTCGCCCCCTTCCTCTTTGCTATTTCAGCTGAGGTCTTTAGCCCATCAATCTCCCACATGTACCAGTCAGGTCGTCTAATTGGTTTCAAAGTAGCCCTAGAGTTCCCATCATATCTCATCTGCAGTGCACTGACAATACTCTCGTCTTTTTAAACGTGGAATAGCAGGAAACCGAGACCCGGTCACTTTTTCTTAAATGTTTCAAGTCTACCATGGGATTCAAAGTCAACTTGGAAAAATCCACAATGATTCACATCGCTCTCACTTAGTCTGAGACTCGAGCCCTCATCCCTGATTGGAACTGCATAGTGGAACCTACCTACTAGCTACCTTAGTATGCCACTGGGCCTCGGTAAACCCAAAAAGATGCAGTGGTACCACATTATCAACAAAGTTGACAGTCTAGCTAGTTGGAAAGGACATTTCCTCTCCTACGCGAGAAGAACTACCCTTATCAAGGCAACTATAGCCAACACTCTCGTGTACCTCATGTCACTATTCCACATGCCAGCTACAGTGGCAAACCGTCTAGAACAGTTAATGAGAAACTTCTTGCGGCCAAGAGATTCAAATACAAAAAATATCACATCATTTCTTGGGAGAAAGTTTGTCAACCCAAACACCTTGGTGGTCTCGGTATCCGCCTCCTAAGAAAACAGAATACGGCTTTGCTTGGAAAGTGGTGGTGGAGACTAGCAACTCAAAACAACCTCCTCTAGACCCAAGTCCTCCGCTGCAAATACAGAATCCCCATCAATGATTGGCTACCAACTGGAAGACCCTAATAGACCATTCAGGACTTGGAAGCCCTTGTCCTCTTTTGCCCGATTCCAAAGAAATGTCAACTTCCACCCTAGGGAGGGACATCGAATTCAGTTCTGGTCAGAACTATAGTTGGGCTACACCCCCCTCAGGGACCTATTCCTGATAGTCTTCTCCTTGGCCATCAACAAGTTCTCCTCTATTGCGGATGAGATATCCCCCTTCAGACACCCTCAAAGTCTAGAAACCTTACTTTCAAGCGGCCGCTCTCTGACCTGGAAACCTCTGAATTTCTTACCTTGTCATCCCTGCTTCACTCGACCTTCCTGGCTCTCTTTGGGCCGGATTGTATCATTTGGACCCCTTCTCCCTCGAGTAATTTTCTTGTGGCATCTTTCTACAAGAAACTCTTGATGCCACCTACCTTCCACCTCTACCCAAGGTCCATTGTTGCCCAAGTTTGGTCCTCTATCGCTCCCCCTAAAGTTCAGGCACTGATTTGGATAACCCTCTCCGAAAGAGCTATCACTGTCGACCTTCTCCAGTGTAGGGGTGTTCCTATCCCAATCACTGTGAGATGTGCCTCATAGCAGAAGAGAGAAATTCTCATCTTTTTATCAATGACCAACTCGAAAACAACCTGTGGAGCTCACTGCTCCAACTCTTTGGCCTTCTTAAGGTTATCCCACCCTCCATCCCGGCCATTTTCAACCTTTCACTCGACACCTCATGGCCCAAAGCTGGCAGGGTACTGTCGAAGGCGTCTATAGCAACCCAATTTGGGTAATCTAGACTGAGAGGAACTCCGAGGATTTTCTGAGGAGTCAAAAGCAAAGTTTTGGCCCTCTTTCACAAGATAACCACAACAATCAACTTTTGGGCTACAAATCACAAGGTCTACAAAGGAACCTCATCCGTGACTTTCCTACACCAGTGGCAAACCCTTCTCCAGCACCGCTCGAACCTCTAGATCCAGCTTTTGGTCCCCCCCCCCCCCCCTCCCCTCTCCTGTGGGCCTAACCAAACTTAACTTCCACGGGTGTTCTCTCGATAACCCTAGTTTGGCAGGGGTGGGTGGTGTCTTCCACGACCACCTCGGCAACATTGTCGCTTCTTTATCCAAGAACATTGGTCACGCCGTCTCACAGCTAGCTAAGCCGATGGTCCTCCCTTTTGGACTAAGCTTTTCGACCCCTATTGGGGTCACCTGCTGATCATCGAAGGAGTTGCTCAAAACATTTGGCCTCTGGCTTACGAGACTACCCACATTTGCAGGGATATGGCCATCTTATGGAGGCATATCTAGAGGGAATCCAACACCCTGGGGGATCAACGGGCTAAAGACAGAGCGCACTCCAGCTTTTTAAGACCTGGCGTGCCATGACCTTTTTGCATCTTTATTATCCTTTTTCTTTTGTCCAGGTTTTTGTGCTTGCTCTTACCCATTTTTTGCAAAGGGCAACCTTCCTGGATAAGCCTATTCCTTTGGCGAGAGGCCCAGCCTGTGGGTTTCCTCTTCGCTCCTATGTAATTACTCTTTATATTTAAACAAGAGTTTAACACTTTCAAAAAAATACATGGGGATCACCTAGTATTTCGTGATTTCCAACTAACAATCCCTAAAATTGCTCCTAGTCCCCATCCCAACCTAACTAAGCATTTATGTTTCACATATAAAACTGTAAGCATCGTTGTGGCAACATTGTCCCTAATATAAATTCTTCCATAGGGGCATTTTAAATAAAGCCATGAATGCCACTTTCCTAGCCCTGGTGCCCAAAAAAGGAGTTGAGGAAATTAAAGACTTTTGGCCTATCAATCTCCTCAACTCCTCCTACAAGATCCTGGCAAAGGTTTTAGCGTCTAGACTGCAACATGTTTTGCCTTCCATCATCTCTAACTCACAATCCGCCTTTAAGAAAGGTAGACAAATTCTAGATGGGGCCTTGTGGCCCACGAATGCGTCCATTCGAGACACATTTCCAAACAATCAGGTCTCATCTTCAAAATTGACTGGGAGATGACATATGACCATGTGGATTGGTCAGTCTTGGACGCGACTATGGCCAGAATGGGTTTTGGGGAGAGATGGAGGAAATGGATGAGGAGGCTGCTATTCGAACCCTCACTTCTACACCCTCAACAATGGAACCCCTGTAGGCTACTTCCCCTCTTCTAGGGGTCTCAGACAAGGAGACCCCCTTTCCCCCTTCCTTTTCGACATAGCGGCTGAAGTCTTTAGCCGTTCCATTGCTCGGGTCTACCAAGCAGGCCTTATTACAGGTTTCAAAACTAGTAGACAGGGGCCCACTATCACTCACCTACAGTACGCGAACGACACTTTAGTCTTCCTAGAAGCTACTGCTATTGAGATAAAAAATCTAAAAACTTTCCTTAGCTGTTTCCAATCAGCTACTCGGTTCAAGATTAATGTGGAAACATCTTGTATGCTGGGGGTGGCTTTGTCACTTGTTGAGATTAGGGACCTCATTCCAAATTGTGAATGTAAAGTCCAAAACCTGCCTACAACCTACCTGAGCCATCCCTTGGGTGTTGGTAAGCCAAGAAAGCAGCTCTGGTCCCCAATATTGGACAAGGTCAATCGACGATTGGCGAGGTGGAAGGGTAGATACCTTTCCTTTGCAGGAAGAACTACCTTGATAAAAGCTACCATAGCGAACTCCCCAATCTACCTCATGTCCCTTTACCATATGCCTGCTCAGGTGGCAAACCGCCTGAATACTCGTGAGGAATTTCCTTTGGTTTATGCAGGAAGACGAGGAGAAACCACCTCGTTGCTCGGAACAAGGTTTGCCAACCAAAAGTGCAGGGAGGTCTAAGGATAAAGGTACAGCGCAAGCACAATGCAACCTTGCTTGGGAAGTGGTGGTGGCGCTTAGCAACTCAGCCAAATGCCCTTTGGGCGCAGGTCTTAAAACACAAGTATACGATTCCATCTGCAAATTGGCTCCCTGGAAAAGGCCAAGTCCATAAGACCTCAGGGCCTGGAAGTCGCTTTTAACAGTCCTGTCCTCTTTCAAGAGACACATTAGGTTCCACCCGAGAGAAGAGTCAACAGTTAAATTTTGGCAAGATATATGGTAGGGACTTCCCCTCTTCGTGAGGCCTTCCCAACTCTCTTCTCTCTGGCACGAAACCAAGATTCTTCTGTGGCCCAGGAACTCAGCACCTTGGGAGGTCACAGAGTTTGGAATCCTTCCTTTAGAAGGAGCCTAAACGAAGTCGAGTAGGCAGATTTCCAGCGACTATTGAACTCCCTGCACAATCTCTTCTTCATTTCTCAAGGAAGAGATGAAATCATTTGGACCTTAACCCCCTCGAGCAAATTCTCAATGGCTTCACTCTGCAAAAACCTTTCCTCCTTCCCCTCCCCATCCGAACACTTCTCTAGAATTTGGTCCACTATTGCACCACCCAAAGTACAAGCCTTCAATTGGCTCGCCTTCTCACAAAAAGCTCTCACAGTTGATCAATTACAAAGAAGAGGGGTGCCCATTTCGAATAGGTGCGTTTTGTTTGAATGCAAGGAGGAAACAAACTCCCATTTGTTCCTACTTTGTGCCTTCTCTTCAGACTTATGGGGCCGGGTTTCACAACTCTTTGGCTTACAATGGGTTACCCCACCCTCGGTAAAAGCCCTCCTTACCTTCAATTTTGAATCAAGCTGGCCAAAGGCAAGTAGAATCCTGTGGAAAGCGACCTTAGCTGCTACCATTAGGCTAATATGGATGGAAATAAACTCCAGAAGTTTTCGAGGGACGAAGCTTTCAATTCCGGCCATTTTTCAATAGGTAACCACCCTAGTGACCTTTTGGGCATCCAACATGAAGTTCTTCGCAGGAATTCCAAGATCCTTCTTCCTTTCCCAATGGGGAAATATCCTTCATCACCAACCAGCAGGGGCAGCTAGGCCAAGTCTCTAGTTACCACCGAACCAAGGTAGCATCAAACTCAATTTTAATGGGTGCTCCTTGGGAGTAGGAGGGGTTTTCAGAAACTTTGAAAGCAATATTCTCCTCACCTTCTCCGATTACCTCGGCATCAAGTACTCTCACTATGCAGAAGCCTTAGCCCTCCTCCTTGTTCTAAAAAAATTCAACTCCTCCTGGGGCTCTAGCTTGATAGTGGAAGGTGATTCCAAGAATGTCATCTCATGGGCTAGTAGGACATGTGATCCTCCATGGTACTTGATCCAAGTTTTTGACGAGGTTCAACAAATTTGCAAGACTATGGACGTCTCATGGCAGTATACCTAGCGGACGTCTAGCGACTTCGCAGATTGGCTGACAAAGGAGGGTGCTAGAAGACAGGGCAAGGCAGTTCAAACTGGGTCCACCTTCTTTTTTTCTTTGGACCAGTGAACCCCCTTTTAATTTTTTGGGCCTTTTTATTTTTCCTTGTCATTGTACATCTGAAGGTGGGGGGGGGCAATTTTATAAGCCCTATCCTAGCCTCTTATTGTAAACCGCACTTAGGGGGAAAATCCTATTACTGTACAGGGGTTTTCTATCTTCTTTTTACCGGACGTCCCGTCTAGAGGGCTCTCCCGGAGAGACAATATACTGCAATTCCCTTTCTCAGCAATACAAATGTTAACATTATCAAAAAAATCATTGTTCCTAATATACACTATAGTAGAATATTATATTAGATAATGTGCTTCACTTATTTCTCCACAAAAATACAGACTTTTCTAAATACATATAATCTTTATTGCACATTTGGAAAGCAAACTAACCTACCTCAAAAAAGGTTAATCATGTTTTTTTTTTCCCCTAATGTTCATTTTTTAAATGTTTTAATTTATGCATCTATTGATGATTACAGAGAATCTACTTGAATTTGATTCAATGGGTTCAAATCATTTGATCCCCAATTGAAAACCAAAACTGTTATCAAGATTGAAACTCTTAGGGATTGTATCCTCAAAGCACCCCCACTCGCAATCAGCAACCCATTCCGTGTCTATGTTGACAGCCATGTAGCCCGCCAGGTCTCAGCAGTAAAAGGCTCAAAATGAACAATTACGACTAAATATTTATGTTAAATCCAGTTATATGATTTATATTAGAAGACTAAAAACTCTTGAGATCAAGCAAGTATTACAGTAAATGCATTTTGAAGAAACCAATATCACTAATTCTTGAAAATCCCAAGAAAGTTGGTTCTAAGATCTCACTAAATCCATATTGCAAATGTCAGAACAAAGTAAAGAACTACCAAAAACTTCCAAGGACACTTATACCCATCCCCATACATAATATGCATGTGAATCACTGAATGCATGTAGGAACTTTCTTTTATGCCTACACATTTTCCAAAAATAATAATGCAGCATTACTAATAATATAAGAAATAATAATAGTAAACAATAATAAACAAGTTTATACTAATATGTGTTAAATTTAAAAAAAAAATTGATTGAAAAAGAAAATTAAGGAAATGTACATCCAACCTGAGCAACAATTTTTCTAATCTGAGGTTCAAATCCCATATCCAACATACGGTCTGCCTCATCCAAAACAAGGTACGTAACTCTTCGCAAGTTTGTGTGATGAGCTTCTAGCATATCAATTAGTCGACCAGGTGTTGCAATGACAATCTGAACCCCTACAAATTGCATAGTTTGAGAGGTCAATTCAAATATGTAAGTCTAGACAGCAAAATTATTCAAATTGCAAACATTTGAAATAAAATAAATCCACAGACGGCCACGATGTATAGAAGTCATTTATCAATAAACAACCACACCTTTTTGAAGATCTCGAATTTGGGGTCCCTTAGGGGCACCACCATATATGCACGTAATTCTAACATTGGAATGTGACGCAAATTTTTCAGCTTCTTGCTGAATCTGAACAGCCAATTCCCTAGTAGGTGCTAGGACCAAGACAATAGGACCTTCACCACGAGCTGAAATTAAGAAACGTTTTCCAAGTCATAAAATAATAAATACCAAACAATTATCAATCAGCAATTATAAAGGAATTCATCCTTATCACAAAATTTGTTATGATAGAAATACTCACCAAGACGAGGTTGTGCATTCACATGTACCAAGGCCGGTAAAAGATAGGCCAGCGTTTTCCCTGAACCAGTTTCAGCAATACCAATTAAATCCCTACCCTTCAAAGCCATTGGCCATCCTTGAGATTGGATAGGAGTAGGTTGTACAAAACCACATTTTGTGATCACTTGAAGGCAGTAATCTGGAAACAGAACCCAATTTCCACATTAAAATAAACAAATGAAAACAATGCAAAAATTTGAAACAAAGCAAGGCAATTGCTTATATGACAAATAATGACTGATTGAAGTAACATGCAAAACCAGAAAACTATGGATTGGTCAAATAAAAACTATAGATTGGAAAACAATGCAAAAACCCTCACAACCAAAACAAAGATTTTCCCAAAAGAACACAGAAGAAAAGAAATAATAATGCAAGCAAAGCAATGGTAGCACTTTATTTGAACAATAGTAAAACACCAATTTCAATGTCCACTATGCAAACTCAAACATCAAAACTCACTACGGCTTCTACATATATTTCTAAAATATCTAATGCGGATACAGCTTAAGCTATCCCTGCATAATAGATAGGTGAGTGTAATTTGCAAAAGTAAATCAGATATGGATAATAAGAAGACACTCAAACATAGGCCCTGCCACATTGGGAAATTGTAAGACAATCTCTCTGCATCACACTGATTATGGTCAATCTAAACGATCCTAGATTCCTAATAAAGGAAAAGTATTCTCCATAACCAGCAGTGTTGCATATTGCACGGCATGGGGGCAACCACCCTTGTTTCCCAGTGATGGACAATGAAAATTAACTGTACTTCCCAATGATATACATTCATATGGATATGGTTAATCTATATCATCCATCATAGGGACAGATGATGGATGACCATAGTAACCAGGTTAGGGATCGAATCGGATCAGGTATACGACAAGGACCTTAGGATTGTGAGACGCAAGAAGCAGCCTATGGTAGGGACAACAATCTGTACACCCTAAAATCTAGGGATCTCGATCCCAATATGTTGGTGAGCTCAATCCAAACTTAATTGGGGTCAAATGATAATTATATGAGACCAATCTCCAGGTTGAAAATCTAAGGCTAGTACGATAGTATAGTACCTAGACCACATTGCTATATAATATATACCTCCATACTGTACTGCAATATTGTGCTATATATTATATTCTACCATTCTATATTAAATGCTATTACATTTAAGTTTACAACATATATACAATATATACTAAACTATATAGTATATAGCATAGCTGTTGGAAATGCCTAAGAACCTGAATCGTTTTAGGAACCGGACTCGCGACCGACTAGAAGATTCATGTCTTAGGAATCGTTGTCCGTACAATAGGAATCGCTAGGAACGAGATTCGTAGCTTTTGATAATCGTGTTTCGACCGAAATAGATCTAAGTTTCATCCACATATGGAATCGAGATTCCAGCCTCCTTGGAATAGAGATTCCCATTCCCCCCGAATTGACACTCTAGGAGTCAAGATTTATTAATATGCGGAATCGAGTTTCCGACATCTATGAAATCGAGTTTCTGACATATGTGGAACAGAGATATGTTGTTGTTTCGAATTGTGATTCTAACATATTTGGAATCAAGTTTTTGAAGTATATGGATCATAGATCCATGCCTGTTCGAGATCAAGATTTACAATAATATGGACTATGAAATGCGTTTGACGACCCCTACCAGGAATCGAGATTTCATTTTTATGGAAAAGGAAGCCACAAGCACATCTTGAGCCTCATCAACTTTACAAACCTATATTGAATGTCTCTTATTAGAAGGTTTCCAAAATTTTAAAGTGATTATGTTGACTATTGAACTTACAATCATTATATACAAAAGAAAAGCATTTCTAAATTGTGATTTTGACTTCATTATTATAAAGATAAAATAGGATTATGTCTACGTCATGATTTTACTTTTAATTGTATGTGTTGTATTTACCAGTTATATTTTAAATTTAAAGTAAAAGCCATCTAGGGTGGCACAAGTAAAATAATGAAACCCTGCAACCACTAGAAGCATTTGAAGAAAGATTTCTACTCCAATTGACGTGGAATCAAGATTTAATCCTCGTTGGAATCCAGATTCGATATATTTGAGAACATCTACCAACAATTAATGGGTTCAAGTTTCTATAGATGTGTTGGATCGAGATTCCGAAATTAAGGAATCGAGTTTCCTTGGTTTCAATAAATGGTTTCTAAAGATGTGCTGAATCGAGATTCTGAAACTAAAGAATCGAGTTTCCATGGTTCCGAAAAATGGTTCCTAAAGATGTGTCGAATCGAGATTCTGAAATTAAGGAATCGAGTTTCCTTGGTTCTGAGAACGGCTTCTGTGGAGATTTCTTAACAAAAACTCGAAATAAGGTTTTCGAACCGGAAACACAAGGTCGGTGGAGAGATTTCGGTAACTATGGTATATAATACCACTATACTATATCACACTACAAGAACATACCATACTACAATGCAAGAGAATTTGGATCCCTTGTAGCTTAGGATCTCAATCCCTAATAGGAAGGATCGAATTAGGGATCGAGATCCAAAAGTTAAAACCATTGAGTGAGATTCCCTTCCCTGGAGCGCATGACAAGATTCCAAAGCCGAAGGTTACAAAAAACGACCCGCCCAAATCCTAACCGACCGCCTAAGCACCCAAGAGGCCATAGACAGCCACAATTAGGTATGGGCTGGCCTTTCTGGATAGAACTTCCTAGGAGCCCGCCCAGGCAAGCTAGTCGGACGCCTTGGATCCACCATAAAAATGGCGAAAAAATACTAATTTTTTGGGGGGCATTTTTGGGTAATTTTGACCCATGATGAAGAAGGAAGGGGGGTATTCTAACACAGATCTCAATGTCAAGATGATCAATTAGAGGGTTTTCCAATGTTAACACAACTTTTTCCGATGGATTTTTAAGATACACCTTAATTCTCCATTTTAAGGTTGCAACCTTATATAAAAATATATAAAGACACGCACATCCGGGCACCCAAGCCGAACGCACACACACACACATGCTCTACGCTCAAGCATGTGTGTGTCATTCTAACCGATTCTTAGTTTCCCAAACAGTTGGTTAATGTTCACTTGTACAATAATGGAAATAATGTTGCTGATTGATTGTCAAATTCATTTGTAAATTACCACAGTACTTATTACAATTCAAATTTCAAATAGTCTTACCACAAAGAAAAACTCTCATTTTTGCTCATACATGAAGTCTTAAAAGAAAAATTAATCCATGTACAGTTACAAATACACAGTCCAATTCATAGAAGAGCTACAGCAAGCATCATGCAACAGATAACAGTTTTCGTCAAGGTGAGATAATATCGTTCAGGACACTTTCCTTTTTCGAGAAATCAATGACTATATATTTCGACACCCCTATGGATATGAGGATGTATTTCTAATTACCCTAGTGTGTTTGTCTAATACAGGATTGAATCTGTTTTACGTATTTGGGATGTGTCTACTGTCTATTATATAGGTGATATGAATTTCACTTCATTACATTGGTAAGAGTATATTGGAAATTCCCCTAAACACTTTCATACAAGTACCAAAAATTGATATATTTATAGGGTACTCATAACCAAAACAAGTTTATGCATAACCATGATTTGCAAGGCAGTACGAGATATAAAACATAGCTTCAGACGATCTATTATCTCGGTGGACCATGTGAGGATTAGGCTAAGTCACTTCTTTATTTTTCTCAGAAATCCCATGTACTTGACGTATGAAGTGCTTCACTTGATCTTGGGACAGGTAGAACATGTGATGGCTATGTAAGTAGGTCAGATCATTTCTCGATATTGTGAGAATGGTGACAATGGTCATTATGCTCGTACTTCCAAACATGTGCCTAGCATTTTTTTATTATTATTAGCTTTTCGTCCTTTCAATAGGGTACTGCTCAATAAACATAAGTATTGAGACATAGGGATGCTAGGCCACTATCACTGTTTCAAAAAGCGGACCACCCAACGCCTAGGCGGATATCCCTGGGCGCCTACCTGAACCCGCCTAGGTGGCCGTCCATGGCGTGCACCCCACCCATGGGCAGAAATGTAGCTCCTTGAGGGTATTTTTGGGTCATTTTTTTAATACTAAATAGGCAAAATTGTAGATTTTAGGTTCATTTGAAACCTAAAACACATAAGAGGCTATTTTATAGAGAGAGACAAAAAAAAATATTTCTACTGGGCCGCCCAGTTTCTGGGCACCTGCCTAGGCGCTGGGTGGCCTGGACCCCCCTACTGCTTAGCGCTTTTTGAAACACTGGCCACTATACTTTATTAACAAACAATGTTTCAAATAGCTAGACCAAAAGTCAAAGTGGAAAGTGGGTCAATCCAATCCATTTCAATGGTCAACAATTTGAACTGCATTAATAAATATAAATCAAGAAAACAATATGAAAAATGAAGTAAGAGAATATGAAAAAGGATCATTGGGCAGGTTTTCTAGTTGAACAAGCCAGTTAACCTATTCAACATCCAGTTTAACCCAACTCAACATTTATATTCAGTTTTCTAATGAAAATGGGTTTTCATGGACCAGTTTTGGTCTAGGTTCCTATCCCAACTAGTTCAATCCGTAGTAGATTGCTATGAAACTAATATTCAAAATTTATCAATCCATTTCACCATAAATAATCCAGATAAAAATTAAGCCATTTTCTCATTTTTTTGACTAGTGAAATAAAAAGGAAAATGGTTTACATAGAGCCGAGGATCTAAACAATCAAATTAGAGCCCACCCCAAAAATTTCACTAGAAGAGGTCGTTGTGATGCCCAAATATCCTCAAATTGATCATCTCGACATCAAGATGCATGGACATGAGAAAAAAAGAATTTCAAGTTTTGGAAATAGTGCATCTTGTAATGCATTAGTGCATCTTCTAACGCTTTTTTTTTTTTTTTGCGAAAGGTTAACTTTGTAAATAAATACAAATAATACATTAGGCTATAATCTAAAGACGGCACTCCCACAAGTTGGGTGCTCAGACAAACAAAAGTAGTAAGAGAAGAGGGAGACAGAGGGGGAGGTACATAGTAAAAGAAAGAAGGAAACAAGGAATAAAAAAAACTACAACATTCGACTGTCAATTTTCAAGATTTTCAAGTTTTCATAGATCTGCTTGATCTACACTATTTTTGACGCTTCAAATTTTATAATTAAAGATGAAATAAATTTTAAAGGTCTCACAAAGATTTCCAGTATTGAAACCACATTTTTAGATACTATTTGAAGGTGCACTTTCTTTGATTGTTTAGAGCCTCCGCTCTATACAAACCGCACCCAAAAACAACTTATATGCATATGACAATTATAACAAAAGTTTGCACTGATAAACATTAAAATAAAATATCCTATATTTTTTATAAAGAACAAGTACGATAACATGATACACAGTGGCAGCTGGCAACAAAAAATATTCAACAAGAATATCCATAACTTCGAAGGAACTACAAAACTTCACCATAACTATAGAACTTCACCATAAGTTCTAAGTGATAAAAATAAATAAATAACAAAAAATTGAGAAAAATGCACCCTTTAATTTGCATATATAAAACTACAAGTTACATATTTAAGATAAAATTTGGAATAGCTTAATATAGTGGCCACCATCAACAAAAACATATAAAGACAAGGACAAAGATATATGAAGAATGGATTCCAAAGTAAGAAAATTATAACACATGACATGCATACTATAAAGATGATGAGATAACCCAAGTTACACAAAAAAATTACCCGGAAAGTTGGCCTCATGAAAATAACGGATAGGCTTTGGAACATCCCGACCCTCAACTGTTATATCACGACTCTTACGATAGAGCACAACATCTTGTTCCGACATCACTTGCACGGCTGGGTTCTCTACATAGAAGTTCTTCTCAAAGGGTATCAACTCCCCGAAATCCTCAGGAGGAAGTTCAATGCTATCCAATTCACTCTTGGACCCAGCACCGTAGCCTCTCCCCCTACCCCCACGACCCCTGTCAAAACCTCTGCCTCCTCCTCGTCCTCGACCAGCATCAAAATCCCGACGTCCCCCTCGACCCCCTTCGTGACCCCTACCACCAGAGCGAGCCCCACTAAACCCTCCTCTCCCGCCATCCATGTCATGCTCCCTCCCTCTTCCATTGCGGACCCCACCACCACCTAATCCCCCTCGTCGACCGCCACGATCACCCCGCCCCCCACGAACTCCATCGAATCCTCGGCCTCTTCCATGTGGTGGTGGGCCTTCGCGCCCTCGCCCGATGCTAGAGGGTAAGGTTGACATTCCATTAAAGCCACCCCTTGCAGGCCCACTGACCGTGCTGCCGCCTCTAAAGGGAGCAGGGTCTACCCCAGCGTGGGACTGGGCTGCAGGGATGACAGGGGATCCACGAGGGCCAAGGATCCCACCGGGGAAAGCACCTCCGGCCATGCTGATTGGGGCACCAAGGGGCGGCCCCATTATGTCACTGCATTGTAAAGTAATTCAAACATTTCATAATGCAATAGATAGAGAGAGAGAGAGGGGAGGAGAGTATAACTATATATTTCCAGGATAATTTGGAGAGATAAAGAGAGTAACCATACATTGAATCACATACAGTATAACCTAGTATTTCAGTCAGAATTTGGAGCGAGAGACCAACAAAAGATTCCAACCAGGGACGTACAGCAGAACAAGAAACGACAGAGAGGTGGGAGAAGGAAAAGTAACTAAACAATCCAGTCACGATTCAGTGTCAATAACCGCGATGGAAGTGTGAAAAGTCCCCCCAAACTATGAGGTGCAATTCATCAGAAGTTCCCACTAAATGGAATTGATGCTTAGAAAATCCAGAAAGAAAAAAAAATAGAAGGGTCTATAGTCTATTCCTTCAAATGGTGTGCCACAAGAAACATGGAAACCACGCACAATTCAACAACCCATATTGGAAGCACCAGAAGGCCCCTGACCCAAAACTGACATACATTACACCATGAATTTCACCTAACTCTTCCAAAACTCACTTTCAGCCGTAATGGCAAAACAGAAAAACCCTAACGAATGAACAAAACCATCACAAAAGGAGCGTGAGGAGAAAGAATGAGAAGAAGTGAAAAGAAGAGAAGGATAAATATGTGTTTTCTAAGTCGTATAGGAATTGTATTGGCGCCATTGATGAGAAAATCGTTAGAGAGAGAGAGAAAAAAAAGGAAAGGAAAAGTGGGGATTTTGGCGTACCTTCTCCTTTCACGGTAGGAGTTAGGGTCTCCATATCTGGTATCAAAGTGGTTGTTCATAGCAGCCGCTGTCTCCTACTCCTGGAGCCTATACTGAGTTGCAGCTTCCGCAGGAGAGAGGGAAGAAATGAAACGGAAAACTAGGGTTTCTCTCTTCCCCTAAAGCCCGCTCAGTTTGAACGGCCAATTGAATCAGAAACTCCTGCTCTTTCATTATTTATAGTATTTCCTCTTTCAAACCCTTCCCTCTTCGACACGTAGCTTTCGTTCCGCCTGTGTGATACCCTTGTACGGACAGTGGAACGGGAGAATTTATTCTCGAATCTAAAGCCATGTTTGAAAGAACGGATCGGTTGACCCGAATCGGCCATCATAAAAATTAATCTCGATTAGAGGATCAACAATCTCAATAAGATCTGACGTATCTGATTTTAAAAATATATAAAAAATTTATTTAAAATAGGAAAAATTATGTCTTTATTTGTTGTATGATAAAATATAGAATGAGACTTTTTACTTTTGATATAAGGTGGTGACATTAATATCGGCTAAACCATTAAATGTGAAATTGGATGGCTACAATTCTTCTATTGATCAAGCTCAAACTTTAAAAGAAATTTTATTTAACTTTGTGATACATCCAAATTATCAAATTTCATATCAAACGATTGTTAGAAATTGTGATCACCTTGTATCAATCGTCAATGATCTCTTGTCATAGTTACCACTACTACGAAAATATCTTTAAATTTTCGACTTACATCCATTTTTTCACCATTGTAACAATTTTTTTAAAAAAAACCAAAATTAGACTGAATTCGATTTTGATATACTAAATATCTCTTCCTCTCTCTTTTACCTCTTTCACAAAAATAAAATTTGACGTTCTCGCTCTCGCTCTATCTCTCGACTTTTTCTCTCTCCCCTCTCGTTACTATCTATATAAATTCTTTTACCCCTCTTTCTCTCTCTGCCTACAACTCAGTCGAGTTCATGCATCTGAGATCTAGATGGTGGATGGAATGGATCTGAAGCCCTGTTGGCACAGTTTTAGTTGTCGTTGAATGGGTTGCCTCTTTTGAAGAGAGAGAGATAGAGCCTTGAACATTTGCATAGCAAAGAGCCTTGAATTCGAAGCGATGAACAGAAGGAGTTCGTGCTCGGTTCAAGGCAGCTTCCATTGCCTATGTAGCAAGTGCAATCCCAGCTTTGGTTGGTATGCGCGTTAAAGGCTATCTCAACTATATGGCACAAGCACCAATCATGTCAGCAGCTTCTATTGTGTCATATTTCATTAGGACTGATAAGACCATAGGAGAGTGTGCAAAGAGAAACTACATCGAGAAATATGGTAAATCCACTTGAATGATCAGTTCCACCCGTACTGTCGTGTTGAGATTATGCAAAAGCTTGGATCAATTCTCTTGGGAAAAAGTTTATATAAGGTTGCAACCTTAAAATGTAGAATTACATAGAAACCTCATAAATCCATTGAAAATTGTTGTTTTAAAATTAAAAAAACTTCTAATTGGTCATCTCGATATCGAGATATATAAATATGGTAAAAAAAAATAGATTTTGAGTTTAAAAAATAATACGTCTTGTAATACATTATCTAGACTGTCCATTTTCAATATTTTCATAAGTTTATAGATCCACTCGATTTTAAACATTTTTTTAATGTAAAATTTTAAAATTAGATATGAAAATAGATTTTGAAATAATCTTAATAACCTATTTCACCAAAATTACATGTTATTGATACAATTTGGAGGTACACCTTAATTGGATTGTTTAAGATTGCAACCTTATAGAAACTACACCCATTCTCTTTTGTTATTGTTTTTTTTATCAATTTTGTACATGGATAGATGTTACACATTACTAAATAAATCCCAACGGTTGCTTTCTCGCTCAAAAAAATAGGCCTTGGGATAGCTAAAGGCAATGATTTCACAATAGAGAGAGAGGGGTAAAAAATTTAGATATATAGAAATAAGAGAGGAGAGAGAAAGCTGAGAGATAGAGAGAGAGGGGGAACGTCAAAGGTAAGAGAGGAAGAGAAATTTGGTTTTTCAAAAATCGAATTCAATCCCATTTCGGTTTTTGAAAAAACCGAAAATAGGCAAAACTGTCTTTTTAAAAAAAAATCGTTACAATGGCAAAAAACGGATATAAGTGTAATAAAGAAAACTTGAAGGTATTTTCGTAATATTGATAAATATAAAATACGTACTTTTCTGTAAAAATTATTATGAAATAATATTATTTGGATTTTCAAGAAAAATGGGGGTAATGCATGATGAATTTTTATTATCTTATAAAAATAAGTGAACAATGAGAAGTCATTTCTTGTTTGAATATCTATTGATCAACATTCTAGCTGTGCTTCGAGCCTTATTACATGCGGCTTTTCTCTTTCTCTCTCGAAAGGTGATGAAGGAGAAAATGCTGGTTTTAAGGTGGGTCTAAGTTCTCCACTCTTATGATATCAATCTCTTTGTATTTGATGTTGTTTGTAATGTGATAAGAGATAAATTGATTTTTTATAATTGGCATATTCTATTTCAATTTTTAAATAATGGCTTGTAACTTTTTGGTTTTAAAGGAAATAGAAAAATCTAGATGAATGTCTCTTTTTTAATATATAATTAGAATACTATTATTATCCAAAGTCGCTAACTTTGGCAAAGCTTACATCCTACCCGATTCTCTCTCTCTCAATTATTGGTAGAGAGAGATGATATATATATATAGAAACAAATTATCTATGGAGACATGTTAAATTTAAGAAATTAGAAACTTAGGAATCTATAAAATAACATGTTTTATGTCAATTGTTTATTGAGAATACATTGATAAGATATTGATATTTATCCCATAAATTAGATTTTTAAGAAAATATAGCTATAGTAGTAATAGAAATAAAATTCAAAATAGTAAAATACATATTCCAAGATAGGAAAAAAATGTTGCTATTACATTTTGAGAAGAGAATGTAACAAGATATGAAAGTGTATATTGCATGTAGCAAGATATAAAAGTTTATATTGCACTATTGTATTAGCATTATATATACAATGAAATAATCACCACAAGAGTTGTGTGGGGCACAATTATTTTTCCAAAGAGTTGTATGGGTTGAAGCTTTCAATACCATAGTCTTCATAATAAACAAGATTCCCTCAACCAATTTGCAAATGGATTCACCATAGTCTTTATTGTTTGGCCACATACCAAACTATTCTTCACTTCGAGTTTTTGGTTATCGATGTTTTTCGTACCTTCGAGTCTATGCTGCAGATAAATTTTGTCTTCGTTCTCTTCCATGTGTATTTTTGGGTTACAGTGTTTAACATAAGGGTGATAGATGTCTGCATCCACCTATAGGGCGAGTTTATATCTCTAGGCATGTCATATTTGATGAAAATATATAGCATTATGCTAACCCCAATTCTTTTTTTTATAATTCTCAGGTTCAAGGGGAGTTGTCCACCTATGCAGAATGATCAGAATGTTATGAGCCTGATATACATACTCCTTCATCTTCTGATTCATCTTCTCCACATAAACCATCACATGGGATGCACTTGATGTATCAGGTCCCTCAAGTCCTGTTTTGCCCATCACCACTGATAGCTCTCCAACTTTTCTTATAGAGGAAGATGTCACCACTGCAACACCAATCCAAGATGTCCAGGATGATGCAACACAAAATCATGATGATGAAAATGTTGCTACGGAAGAAACCAACCAATCTAATTCTTTACTAGTCTCTGAGCATTCTTGTCATCACATGGTCACTAGATATCAAGATAGTACTCGAAGACCTTGAAGTCTTTCATCTATGGCAACAATCTCAAGTGTTCTTATTTTTTAAGTTATTCCTTCTTAACCTAAAACCATTAAGTTTGCATTGGGTCATCTAGGTTGGCATCATGTGATGGAAGATAAAATTGAAGCCCTGCATGTGAACTCAACTTGGAAGCTAGTTCTTCGTCTTCCATGTATCAATATTGTTGGTTGTCGTTGGGTTTATACGACTAAATTAAAGTTTGATGGTAGTTTAGGGAGACTTAAGGTCAGATTAATTACTAAAGGATACAATCAGGTTGTTGGAATTGATTTATCTGAAACATTTAGTCATGTTATTAAGCTTGCTAGTATTCAGATTGTGCTCATCATTGCTACTGTGTGCCACTGGCCTATCAAACAAATTGATGTGAAAAATGCTTTTTTGCATGGCTTTCTTAAGGAACCTGTATTTATGAAACAACCTATTGGATTTATGAGCTCAAAATATCCAAACCTTATCTGCAAATTACAAAGAGCTTTATATGGTCTCAAGCGAGCACCACGGGCCCTTGTTTGATAGATTTAGTGTCAATTTATTATCATTGGGTTTTATTGTAGCATAGTTGATTTATCTCTATTTATTTATTGCACTACTCAAGGTATTATTATTCTTCTTCTTTATGTTAATGATATTATTGTTATTGGTAATAATTCAGATCTTTTAGATTGATTCATTTCACAACTTGGAAAGGAGTTTGTAGTGAAAGATCTTGGACCTCTTCACTACTTTTTTGGCATAGAGGTATCTTATTTTTCAAGTGGGGTTTTCTCTCACAAAGCAAATATGTCTGGGATCTTCTTGATCATGCCAAACCTATTTCAACACCAATGGTGATGAAGAACAATATTCATTGAAATTTTGATCTATTTCCTGATCCATCTTTTTATCATAACATGGTTGGTGCCCTCTAATATATAAATATAACATGGCTAGACCTTTCTCATAGTGTTAATACAGTGTGTCAATTTATGCATGCTCCTACAATTACACATTTTCAGGTAGTTAAGCGGAATTTTCGTTATCTCAATGGTACACAATCGTGTAGTATAATAAACTTATATGCTAGTTCCCTTGAGTTATATGTCTTCTATGGTGCAGACTGGGTTGGGTGTCCAACCACTAGTTTTTGCACATTCTAACTGCATATCTTAGAGTGCTAAGAAACAGTCGATTGTGGCTCATTCCAATGTTGAAGCAGAATATCGCTCTATAGCATCCACTACTGCACAGTTGACATGGCTTTTTTTTCAATTTTTTGGGATATTAGATTACCTCTTCCTCAACCATTAATAATTTTTTGTGACAATATTAGTGCTCTCTATATGACAGTTAATCCTATTTTG